CCGGCCGGGGGGGGGGGGCGGGCCCGGTGCGGACCTGCCAGCATGCATAGAGGCCCAGGAGTGGCGAGGAGGAGGCGTTGGCACCCCCGGGACAGAGCCGGGGAGGGAAGCGGGTTCCCTGCCAAGGAGGATTAGGCCGGGAGCTTCGGGCCCCACAGGAGAATGGAGCCTTTGACGGGCACCGGGGCCTGCAGGGGCCGCTGTGGCCTTGGAGCTGGCGGCGTGCGGCCCGGGCCCTGTGCGTGTGCCCACCACGTGGACAGCCCTGCCTGTGTCCGCTGGCCGGAGCCCTGCTGAGGACGGCGGGGACGGCAGGGGGGGGGTGCGCGGGCCGTCCAGGCCGGCTCTGAGCACCCGTCCCCTCTGCCACACAGGCCTGGCCACCTCTGCCTACAGTGTCACGCTCAGTCCCCCAGGCTCCGTCCTCGAAGGAGTGGCCAGGGTGGGGAGGTACACGTTCACGGCAGGTGAGTCGGGGCCGCGGGCGGGGCGCTCCTGCTGCTGTCCTCGGCCACGGCATCAGGCCCAACCGTGGGACACGCCGGCTGGGCTGGACCTGGACCTGGGGCTGGGGCAGGATGCCCGATCAGCAGTGGCCCGTGGCTGGCGGCGAAGCCCCCGGGAAGCCCCTCGTGGCCCCTCGGGCCCTGACTCGGCACCCACCTCCGTCCCCAGCTGCCATCGGGGCCGTGTTTGGCCTCGCTTCCTGTGTCTCGGCCCAGGTCCGCGGGAAGCCTGATGACCCCCTGAACTACTTCATCGGTGGCTGCGCCGGAGGCCTGACCCTGGGAGCACGCAGTGAGTGGGCCACCCCCCACACCCCCCGAGCTGGTGGGGTGACTCGACCTCGCCAACCCGCCTCCCTCTCCCACCCAGACACGGGCTGGGTGCACAGGACACTGGGCTGCACCCTGAGCCCACACTGCTGAGCCCCGCCGGCCCCCCCGCACTCAGACCGGCCCATCCCCTCCCTCCCTGCTCCTAGCTGTTCCTGCCCCAGGGCCTTTGCATGGGCTGGGCCCACTGTCTGGGCTCCTCTTCCCCAGGTGTCCACACAGCTGCCCCACGAAGTCGCCCCACCGCCCTCATGCATGCCCCCCCGTCTGCCTGTCCCCCCCATTGGTCTTTGAGCACAGAGACGGGGGATCACCACGGGGTGCCATGGCACAGAGCCACCGGGTGCTGCCCTGCCACCGCCATTTCACGGATGTGGGGTTGAAGGCCAGGGAGGGGATTAAGTGGCAAGGTCACTGGGAGCCGGGGCCTTCTCAGCAGCCAGCACAGGGCGCAGCCAGGACCAGGCCCAGGCCCAGCGCTGGGGTCTCTGCCCACCCCTGTGAGCCTCGGGGCTGGCGGAGGAGGAGCGAGGCCACGTGGCCAGCCACAGGCTGGCGGGGTGGGGGCCCTGGTGGGTGGTTCCAGGCGGGGAGAGGGCGGACGCCGAGGAAGGAGGATG